GGGGGGGGGGATCATAGTTGTGATTTGATGTGGTTTTGGGCAAGCTTGATAGGACTTTGGATTCCCTTGGTAGAAGTGCTATATACGCATTACTGATGGTGCGACTGTGAAGTCCTTTTGGAATTTATCTGAGTTGGAATCATTCTCTTGGGTCTGTTTGAGAATCTTCTGTTGAACCCTTTCGCCTCATCCGAGACAAAAATTGATGAGCAAAATACCCAAAGGAAGACCCGCATGCTAGTCATCGTAGATTGCTCAAATATTATGGCTATCCTAACACTTTCGAAACATGAAGTCTTGTACACCAAAAACACCAATCCGATTTCTAGCTACCAACCCTCAAGCACGGCACGTCTCCCAGATACGAAACGATGGTCCGACCAGAAGCAAATCGAAAATCAAAAACACCTGAAACCCATCCCACCCAGGTCGATAAATATCACTTCCTCTCCGTTGCTCACATATCCATGGTATCGACGAAAAGCAGACGGCTGCCATCACCCACAAGTTGCCAGACCTGAACGGAATAATCAGTACACTAATACTGTAGTAAAATGAACCAGGGGAAAACTCACATTCAGATTCTCATACTCATCCACAGCCATTGTGAGCTGGTCCTCGGTGAAACCCTTCGCAAGCACCCGTTCGCGGATACGTCTCATGCTGAGTTCACCCTCGTCACCGTCGCCGACCGCCGCAGCACCACTCTCCCACATGCTGCGGATGAGGTGGTAGATCTTACTGCTAGGGCTCTGGTCCAGACCCGACTGGCCATCGCTGGACAAGGAGTCCTTGCTGACCTGGATCAGACGCAGCGCCTCGTCGACATCCTCAATAACGACGACATCGCTGAAGCGCAGACGAGCCAGGGCCTGCGACAAACGGACAACACCCAACAGAGTACGCGGGGTGACGTGGGAAAATTGCTTCCGTTCGTCTTCATCCTTCTTCTGCTGTTTCCTCATTCTCACGTACGCTCCCACCATGTAGTCCGAGACAGAGGATGGAACAACCGGCCGGTAGGTCCGCGCCTTGGCGATATACTGGCGGACCTCATGAGGCGTGAACATGACGCCTGCATCCTCGGTTTCGGGGTGTCTGTTGTGCATGTGGACATATGTCACATGGTTGGCAAGCTCTTCGTCTGCATCGGGTGAAGGGGTATCAAGGATCAAAAACATCACATCGAAACGAGAGAGTAGTGCAGCTGGCAGATTAATGTTCTCAACAGGAGACACCCGCGGGTTGTATCGGCCGTAAAGCGGGTTAGCTGCTGCCAAGATAGAGGTCCGAGCATTGAGGGTGGTTGTAATTCCTGCCTTGGAGATAGAAATGGTCTGCTGCTCCATCACTTCGTGGATAGCGGTCCGATCGGAGTCGTCCATCTTATCGAATTCATCAATGCAGCAAATACCATTGTCGGCCAGGACAAGGGCTCCGCCTTCCAGGACCATCTCGTCGGTTACAGGATCTCTCATGACCGCAGCCGTAAGACCAACGCCACTGCTACCACGACCCGTAGTATAGACACCTCTAGGGGCGACCTTGGAAATGTATTTGAGCAGCTGAGATTTGGCAACACCAGGGTCACCCATCAGGCAGATGTTGATGTCACCACGAATGTGCATACCGTCGCCCATCTCCTTAGTCACACCACCAATGAGGAGCAAAAGCAATGCCTTCTTGACGTCAAGGTGACCATAAATCTCCGGTGCAATCGATCGCGACAGATATTCGTACATGTTTCCAGACTTCTGGTGCTGTTCGATCTTGCGAAGAGTGCGACTATCCATGGCAGTATCTTGGTAGGACTTCTTGTGCTGGGTAATGTGTTGGGCTTCCAAGTAGGTATCGGTCAAGAGACCGGCACGGATAGCCCTGAACCCAGTGTAGGGTATAGGGAGAAAGATTCCCGCAATATCAACAACATCTCCAGGGTTCAGCTGGCGAGTGAGGCTTCCATGGCAGTGGACGGTCATGGTCCGAGGGATGTGGCCCACGGGCACCTGGTCCGCCATCTCCTGGATCTTGACTTCTTGAAACGGAACGAACTTCGAGGCACGTGTTGAAAGGAACAGCTGCCCCTTTGACTGATTTGTTTGACATTCCGTCGATTTACACTCTGTCATCGGAAGGAATTGCTTGGTGGTGACTGGTTGAAACACTTCACTTCCGCAGCGATCACACGTATAAGCATTGATCTCAACGGCAGGTTTGACGTCCGAGACACGAGTCGTGATACCGCGGACTGTGATCAAACTACCGATATGTTCTGCACGCACATTGCGCACTGCGATAGCCTTGGACTGACGGTCGGTGCTCGATCCGGAGGGTGTTAGGGGTTTGAAGTTGACCGTGTAGCGACGAGTCAGTTCAGGAGGGAAGATCGAGTCGGCAGCCTCTGCATCTGCGTTGGCTTCTGCCGCCATCAGCATGGCTTCGTTTCGCTTTTCACGTTGGGACATGATCACGTCGAGCACATCGTCCTTGAACCTGTGAACTATCAGCAGTGCTACAACCTGAGCGAACACGGGCTGGCATACGTGATGTCCTTGCTCTCTTTGGGCATGAGATCGTCGATCGCCCGCGAGAAAAGCTCAATGTAGTGATGAGTGTTCTTTTGCACACTTTCGACAAGGCGCAAGTCTGTATCATCGGGAAGAGACTTCTCGTACTAGTTTGACATTAGAGATGTCTGGGGTAGTCGTGATAATTCAAGCCCTTACAGTAGCTAGGTCGTCCAATTCGATCAAAATATTCGTGCGCTCTCGGTCAGCGACGTCCTGCAACAGCTGCATATACTTGAGCTTTGGCTCTCGTCGTCTGCGACCAGGCCGCTGTGCGCCATCCTCCACATCATCCATAAAATCATATTCGTCGCTGGTGCCATCCTCTTCGAGGTTGAGGTCTTCAATGGCTTCGGTCGCGGCAGACTCGGACGCCGACTCAAAGCTCTTGAAATGCTTCAGAAAGTCCTTGAATCCCTCCAATTGCGCCTCATAATCGACATGAACGTTGTAGGTGAGCAAAGACATTATGCGACAAAGGCACTAGCCAGGTTCATTCAATTCAATAGCTGGCACAGTGAAGCAGGTAGTGGCTAGTCAAATTCGCATGGACCGTGTGGTGGTGAAAAGAAGGCGGGCGGTTGCTGTGGTGGTTGTCTTGGCAGCTCTCGTCGCTGGGGTCAGTGAGATTGGCACTAGGCCAAACGAGGTCTTAATAGCAAAGAGCGTCGACACGTCGCGACGCGTCTTTTCGTGTCTCGGACTCTCCATTACCTGCTAGGCCCAATTCGATCTAGCGGAGGGGCACGTGTGTCGGAAGGGATTAACCCTCGGCCCGAGTGCTCAAGGCGGGCCGGCCTCGGCGAACGGCGAGCTTGCGGAGTCAATGAGCGACGAAGTCCGGGGTTAATGTTGCGCACTTGTCAATCTGGGATTATTCAACTCATCTCAGATCGACCCTGTTCTCTCCTCCACACAAAATTTGAAGTCTGCTCTTTAGCGCGCAACAATGGCGCCTAGAAAGCCCTCCACCACCGCCGAAGTGTCTTTGGTGCCTCTGAAGAACTGCCTGGTCAATCTCCCGCCGTCGCTGGTCGCACTGCTGGTCAATGCCAACACAGTAAGCTACCATCTCTCTCGCTGCGAGCTACTCGGCGCGACATAGTGATTCTAAAGCCAAGGTCTACAGGCTGCTCAGAATGTGATCGTCGAGCTCCAATACCGGCCAGCTGCTGGAAAGAGCAATAGCAACTCCACGCATCGCTCATGCTACTTAGGCTGGACGGGTATGCCCAGCAAGCGCAAGCTTGCTCCTGTCGTTGGAAGAGATGGTATCAATAGTAGCTCTGCTGCTAGGGAGCAGGAAGTTTCTACTGTTGAGTTGGATACCACCTTCGGCCGAGTCCTCGGATTGGCGGATGGACAGAAGGTAAATGTGCCCTCGGCCCTGTTAGTGCTCGCAGTTCTAATGTACAGCAGGTCGGAATCTATATTCATCTTGATCCTCCAGTAGCTCATACCATCAGCATTGAGCCGCTGACACCAGAGGACTGGGAAAGTATGATTGCTCTCTATTGCCCCCCCCCCCCCGAATTGCCCTCACATCAGACCCGCTAGCTGACATTGAGCCCGCCGTCACATAGTTATCGAACTACACGCTACATTCTTGGAGCTTAATCTCCTATCGCAGATCCGCGCTCTACCAAATCCTGCATATACTACAACACAGTCAGAACATATGCATCCCCTTGCACTACACCTGTCACCGACCTCAACTGCGAATATCGTTATCACGTCTATGACGCCCGCGCCTCCTAACACCTCGCCGTTTGCGAAGATAGCACCAGATGCGGAAGTTATCGTTGCTCCAAAAACCCGACCCAAGGCTAACAGGGGGTCTCGCGGTGACAATCGCAGCGTCGCTGGCAGCAGCCGGAAAAGTGTGGGTGGACGAAGTAGCGGGAGCACGGTGCGGCCAAAGAGCAGCCGCTCTGATCCCACAAGCAGAGGTTCGCTCTTCTTCAGAGGGGTTGAACGTCATCTGTCGGAGCAATTTTTCGATGATGAGGCAGAGACAGATGCGAATGATGGCTTCCGTATCTGGCTAGATCCTGACATCCTTGCGACAAATGAGCTTCGCGGAGCCACCTGGGCTTATGTTTCCGTCGTGCAACCCTCCGGTCTCAAAGCGCCGCTTGATCCACAGCAACAAATGGATCAAGCAGAGCAAAAGGCGAACGAAGCCGGAACACCAACAACCAAGTTAGTGGCCAAGCTGGTTCCCTGGATTGACGCCCCGGACACTCAGCATGCTGCCATTTCCTCCTTACTATGCACTGCCCTAGGGGTGGAAAGCTTAATGGGAGGTATTGTTCGCGTGGAGGCAGCTCCTCCACCGCTGCAACGCTCAGCTGTGAAGACGATCAAGGTGTATCCGTTTATGAGCGATACGTCGAGGAGAAAGGACGGTTTGAAATTTGGGTCTGACACAGCGGCGGCAAGAGATGCATTGGCTGAGCGCATCAAACTCATATACGGGACCTCCGGGTTGAACGAGGGGCTCCTGGCGGGGCCACTCACAGATGGAATGATACTGCCCGCTGCGGACTACAAACCTACAGGCACCGTCTTCGATGGCGCTATTCTTCGCTTCGACCCTCCATTGAAGGCTGGCTCGGATACAGCCAAGCCAGGGACTGGGTGGCTCGTTGGCTCTGAAGCCAAACTATCACTTGACGTACAAGCCGAAATAGCACGTCCAGCCGAGCCGGGCTCGTCCGCTAGCCCACCTGATGAATTGATCCCGGCCGATGTCCCCGAACTCGTCGGGATTGACAAGGTTATATCGCAAGCTTTGGACAACTTGACCAAGTCATCTTCTGTTCTACTTACTGGTAGTATTGGTTCTGGCAAGACCTCATTGAGTCATCTCTTGGCCCACCATGTCCGACGGGACTACTTGTTCAACGTCAAATATTTTTCCTGCCGAAAGCTCGTAACGGATGAAACTCGGATCTCCAACATCAAGGAAACCTTGAATCGTTTGTTTATGTCTGCTTCTTGGTGTGCTCGGCTCGGAGGACAGTCTGTTGTGATCCTGGATGATCTTGACAAACTGTGTCCAGTGGAAACGGAATTGCAGGTGGGGAGTGACAATGGTCGCAGCCGACAAAATAGCGAAGTGATATGTTCCATGGTCCGCGACTATTGCTCAATGAACTCTTCTGTGGTGCTTCTGGCAACAGCCCAGTCGAAGGAGTCCTTGAACAACGTCATTATCGGCGGCCATGTGGTCCGGGAAATAATACATCTCAGGGCTCCTGATAAGGAAGGACGACGCAAGGTGCTCGAGCAACTCACAATGCAGGACAGAGACTCCTTCCCTCACACCAATGGCCATGCGCGAAACGCCAGCACCTCTACCCATGATTCGTGGCTCGATCCTTCAAACTCTGGGAGTCGGCCAAGTTCCGCCGGTGCGGATGGCTTTGTGCTTGGGCGGGATGTGGACTTTCTAGAGCTGGCTGGCAAGACAGATGGGTTTATGCCAGGTGATCTGGTTCTGCTATTGTCTCGTGCCCGCAATGAGGCCCTCATACGTTGTGTTCAAAGTTCTCTGTCTTCTTCAAAGTCGATCGCCCTTGGTGCTGATGATTTTGACAACGCGATCAAGGGCTTTACCCCTGCCGCATTACGCAATGTGACGCTCACCTCATCTACTACGACCTTCTCCGGCATTGGTGGCTTGACCGAGACTCGAAAGATGCTTCTGGAGACGCTTCAATACCCCACCAAGTACGCGCCTATTTTCGCCCAATGCCCTCTACGCCTCAGATCAGGCCTGCTGCTTTACGGATACCCGGGTTGCGGAAAGACACTTCTCGCCAGCGCGGTTGCGGGAGAGTGTGGCCTTAACTTCATAAGCGTAAAGGGTCCGGAGATCTTGAACAAATACATTGGTGCTAGTGAAAAGAGTGTTCGTGATCTCTTCGAACGAGCGCAAGCCGCCAGACCCTGTATTCTCTTCTTCGACGAATTCGACAGCATCGCCCCGAAGCGTGGCCACGACTCCACCGGAGTTACTGATCGCGTCGTGAACCAACTTCTCACACAGATGGATGGTGCAGAAGGTCTCTCGGGAGTGTATGTGCTCGCGGCCACTTCCCGGCCTGACCTCATCGATCCTGCCCTACTGCGTCCCGGTCGTCTCGATAAGTCCCTGATCTGCGATATGCCCAACCACCCAGATCGACTTGACATTATTCGCGCTGTGAGCGAGAAGCTCAAAATGGACGAGGAGGTCGCTGCGCGACTTGACGAGGTCGCTTCCCGTACCGAGGGCTTCTCCGGCGCTGATCTGCAAGCCGTCGTCTACAACGCTCACCTCGAGGCCGTGCATGACGCTCTCGGCGACCGCTCAGCAAACGACACGCAGTCAACGAAAAATGGCACTACGAAACCATCCTCCACAGATACTAGCGGCGCTACCAGCAAGTCTTTCATTCAATTTCTCTATTCCGCATCCGAGCAGCACGCGGGATCGGTGTCGATGCCTCCGCCCGCTGTTATCGCCTCCAAGCTGGAAGCAATGAAGAGCGCTCGCCGTCGCCTGCGACAGCAGGAGCAAGGGATGGCCAGCGCACCGACCAACGGGTCGTCCGCTCGGGACGAACCTCGAGAGGAGATCATTGTCCGATGGGAGCACATGGAGCGATCGCTGAAAACCACGCGCAGCTCTTTAAGTGATGCTGAACGGCGACGCTTGGAAGCTATCTACCGTGAATTTATCTTTGGGCGCAACGGAGAGATGCCTACTGGCGAGGGTGGACGAGAAATCGGAGGTCGCACCAGCTTGATGTGATGACAGATTCTATCATCACAGAAGCTGTGGGGAGAAGCTATTATGTATATCACGTCTACTTCAATGTATATACGAGAGTCATTGTCACGGTGTTTAGTTGCAGTCCAGTTTCAGGAGATAAAAAGGATCGCCTGCGGAAGCGGCCGGATTCGAACTCTCAATCTACATGCGTTCAACATAGTAGCTCGTACCTCCAAAAAGAGGTCTGTAAATATTCGCAAAAAAAACTGGTAGCTTCTCTTTGATTGAGCGTGTCATCCTTAGTGCAGGGGCCATGCTAATCTTCTCTGTATCGTTTCAAATTGACCAAATGCCCGAAGGCAAGAAAATTATATTTCAACGGGTGATATAGCAATGCCACTAGTGAAAGCTATCTCTGATTGGCTAACTAAGCGAGGGCTGCCGCTGGGTGCCGGCGGTCTGTGAACACCAAAAAATGGCTCAGGTGCCTCATGCAGTGAGGTGGGTGGCCACCAATAATGGTTGTTGGGCCCTGTCTGATGGCCACCAGAAAAGCACTTCTTCAGAATGCCTGCGACGTAGTTCCATACCTTATGCATCAATTGTGTTCATCTTTCACAGTCATTGGGTCGATTGCTGACGCCGATGGTAGCCCAGAGGACGCAAAACATATTCTTTGCAGTTGGGACTGCGGGCAATGAGAGGAAGATGTCAGTAAACTTGGTTCATTAGGTTGGACGGTTGGAAGGAGCCCTTCGTCTTTTGGGTAGTCTAGGGTCAAGGAGCCCTAAAGTCCCAGTACCGTACCACCGGCGTCTCCCAGTAAGAAGCCAGGCGGCGGGGCTCGTGAGGGGCACCTTCAGCAGAAGCGCTGAGAGCTTCAAGGTTGTCCCTCTGCGCTGCTACGGGAAATGCTTTGGTACATACAGTACGGAGTAGTCTATGATGGCCTAGTCAAATACTTCATATTAGCTGGTCTATATTCTCTACTTGATTCCTTTTTCCAATAAGTAGTACTTTAAGCTGTAAAGTATATAGTCTTAGTGCCTTGATGTATGGGGGATCGAGTAATTTACATAATTTTCCTCGATGGAGTATTTTGAGATGACTGACTGGTTAGTGATAAACGGTCCCTTTCCTTTCTGTTTGTCTGTTCTTGCAACTTCTCGTGCATCGTCGGCGACGAGACTCTGGCCCTGGGCTACTCTGCTGAATGTTAGCACGGTCCTGACTATTGGCCATGGCAGTGAGCCCTTTGCGATGCTTGACATCTGCCCCACGATCAGTGTCATACCGGCGATCATATTCTTCTCCGTAGAGAGCAATTGAGGAGGTGGTATCAAGGGTATATCTAGAATAATGGGCCGTCCGGATCAGCCTCGATGTAACCATCGTCACGACGAGTTTGGCCCAATGCGCTCTTGTGACGTCCAAGTCGTCATCACTGGGTGAACGGATTTTCAAGGTTTTGATTCTCGAGCTCAACATCTACTAGCTTTGCTAGTTGAATTGTCTCTGGGTCTACTGGTAGGCTAGGTTCATAAGACTAGTTCAATATTGATGCCCTAGCGACTTGACATATATATGCCAGAAGAGAACCTCAAGCACCAAGTATGAATGTTTAGTCTTAGCAGGCCAGTAATAACCACACATGGTTAATCCCTTACATTGTACCTGCTGGTGGCAATCAATGGATGGCCACCTTATCTACCAACAGAAGAAAAGAACGGACAAATATGAGTATGTGTACGGAGTACTGTATGCACTGTGCCGTCTTCCCGAAGCTGAGAGGCAAAAGACTCCAACCCCACAAACAGCTGAGTCAGCGCCCCTCTCCTTTTCCGGGCGCCGGTAAAGCTTGGCGCAGACTTACAGTACTTCTTATGTACTCAAGTAGTAAACAACAGCTGAGTATGTTGATCGATCACATTGTTTTCCATTAAGAATGTGAAGTCGAACATATCTGATGTGTACTTTGAGGCTTAGCACCTATTTGAGTTTTGATAGTATGGTGTGGCAGACTCATTGAGCACCGCAGGCCACTTGTGGAAGGGGATTGTTGGGGAAGACCGAGGCTGGAAGGGGATTGCGGAGATACAACGGTTATTCGCGCCGTTTCCAACTCGACCAAACCTTTCCTATCAGTCCGCCGTCATGCCGAGGGCCGATCACTTGCCTACCTTAATAATGGGTATCCTGTTCATCCCAATCTTCTTCGGCGTCTTCCCCATTTTTCATCCTTGCATTCAGAACAATTTAGATCTCCTCTTACCCCATTACTTCATCACTTCTTCCCTCACTCCCTTATCTCTGTTCTCACTGCAACATTCCTGACACTGTTCTTATTTGCCTTTCCCCGCATTGTCGCCATGCCCGTCTCCTCACTCTACCCGTCGGTGGAAATACCCAACGTCGATATTTGGACGTTTCTGTTCGAGCGCAAAGACCGAGAGTATCCAGATGATAAAGGTATGTTGTGATCTATCTCTCACCAACAAAAGTCTTATCTTGTCTGATATCTGCCTGCACTCTACTCTTCCCACTTGTACGAGCATTTCATAATTGATAGCACTCTAGTAATCTACGAGGATGCCGATACTAAACGAACCTACACTTACCAGGGTGTCCGAGATACCGCACTGGCCTTCGGACAAGGTCTCAAGGCCATGTTCGATTGGCGCAAGGGAGATGTCCTAGCTCTATTCACTCCTAATAGCATCGACACCCCGGCAGTGACATGGGGAACGCACTGGGCGGGCGGAGTTGTTTCTCCGTCCAACCCAGCTTACACAGCAGAAGAATTGGCCTTCCAGCTGAAGAACTCGGGCGCGAAAGGGCTAGTGACACAATACCATCTGCTTTCGGTTGCAACAATCGCGGCCCAGGACGCGGGGATCCCCCACGACCGGATCATCCTGATCGGCGACGAGCGCGACCCGCAAGCAAAGTTCAAACACTTCACCTCCATTCGCAACCTGTCCGGCGCAACTCGATACCGGAAAACAAAGATCGACCCCTCCCACGACCTTGCCTTCCTGGTCTACTCCTCCGGTACCACGGGTGTTCCCAAGGGCGTGATGCTCTCCCATCGCAACATCGTCGCCAACGTTCTGCAGCTTTCATCCGGCGAGGCCGGCAATTTGACATGGAATGGGGTCGACGGCCGGGGTGACCGTATCCTTGCCTTTTTGCCGTTCTTCCACATCTACGGTGCGCTTCCCTTGTTCCCCCGCGTACAATTTCCCCTCTAAACAAACAAAACCCAAAACAGGTCTCACCTGCCTCGTCCACCAAACCCTCTACAAAGGCCTCCACCTCGTGGTCATGCAGAAATTCGACCTCGAGAAATGGTGCGCCCACGTCCAGAACTACCGCATCACATTCAGCTACGTGGTGCCCCCGGTCGTCCTCCTGCTCGGCAAACACCCCATCGTGGACAAGTACGACCTCTCCAGCCTGCGCATGATGAACTCGGGCGCCGCCCCATTAACCCAGGAACTGGTGGAAGCCGTCTACGCGCGCATCAAGTGCGGGATCAAACAGGGCTACGGCCTGAGCGAGACGAGCCCCACGACCCACACGCAGCCCTGGGAGGAGTGGCGCACCAGCATCGGCGCCGTGGGAAAACTCCTCCCGAACCTCGAGGCCAAGTACATGACGATGCCGGAGGACGGCTCGGAGCCGCAGGAGGTGCCCGCCGGCGCGGTTGGGGAGCTGTACATGCGCGGGCCCAACGTCTTCCTGGGCTACCACAACAACCCGGCCGCCACGGCGGACTGCCTCTCGGCCGATGGCTGGTTCCGCACCGGTGATGTCGGGTACCAGGACCAGAAGGGGAACTTCTACATCACCGACCGCGTCAAGGAGCTGATCAAGTACAAGGGGTTCCAGGTGGCGCCCGCGGAGCTGGAGGGGATCCTCGTGGACAACGAGGCGGTCGACGATGTCGCCGTCATCGGGATCGAGAGCGAAGCCCATGGCAGCGAGGTGCCCCTCGCGTATGTGGTCCGGAGCGCGAAGAGCCTTGCCTCTGGGGTGTCGGCGGACGAGGAGGCTGCGAATATCATCCAGTGGTTGGATGGCAAAGTCGCCTATCACAAGCGCCTGCGCGGCGGCGTGCGCTTCGTGGAGGAGATTCCGAAGAGTGCAAGCGGGAAGATCCTGCGGCGGTTGTTGAAGAAGCAAGCGAAAGAAGAGGGGATTGGTGCAGGCGCGCCGGCACCCAAAGCGAAGTTGTGAGGTAGTTGGAAGTTTTCATGACGTATGAGTTCGTTTGGTTTCCTTCTTTTTGCGGGCGTGCTTGGGCGGTCTTGTGTAGATAGACTCTGTTGTGATGTTTATACATCTTTAGATAATTTATGATGTGCCAGATATCCAGTTCCGAGTGTAGCCTGTCAATATGTTGCTCATTGTTCAAGGGATCAACTGTCCTCGAGTAATGTCATTTGAATATCTCAGCGTATTATACCCGACATACCCCAAGTCCTCAATGAATGGGGCAGAACGAGCCGAAGCATGCTCACAAACCAAATCTCTTCGCCATACCCTCCACATCCTCACCTTCGACCGCATCAACCTTCTCCCTCGCCACTCGTTCGACAGCCTCTTCCACCCCCTCCTCCCCATTCAGAAGATCATACCAACCGTCCGTGTCGTCCCGGGCCAAGAGCAGATCCGCCACGATCGCCACGTCCTCTCTGGTGACGTTATCCACGCCCTTCCTCGTCTTGCCGAGATCGACCTTGCGGGTCGCGGGGGTATCGGTCAACGTGCCCGGCCGCAGGTTGATCGCCTGCAGGGGTTGCGCGGCGCCGGCGGCCACGAGCTTCTTGCGTTGTGCGGCCAGTGCGGTCATGTACTCGTCGGCTTCGAGCTTGGCCTTGGCGTATGCGGGGAGGACGTTGTGGAAGACGTTCTGGAGGCCGGCCCAGTCGTCGTTGGAGAGCCAGCTGGGCGGGTTGCGTCGGCTGCCGATCCAGGACACCAGGAGGAATTTGGTCACTCGGGGGCGGGCGAAGGAGGCCGTCAGAAAATGTTTCGCGGCGACTTCATCGATCGCCTGCGTGCGGGCGG